CAGAAGCTCTGAAAGACTAACAAGAATGTTTGCATTTAGAAGCTGAAGTGGTTTGCACCGTCAGACTTTTGGGTTTAAATCCCAGCTGTGTTTGAGCTCAGATTTGACCCCATCCTTTCTGCAGTGAAGCTGCAGGTTGGGTCAGGAGGCTGGTGAGTGTGCTCCACAATATTTGTCCCACTGTTCTGTCCCTGAGGAGCTCTTTCCTCAAGCCAGACTCTTTGGCAGTGGCATATCCATCTCTTAGTCTTTTAACATCTCTGTCAGGGACCATTTCCCATTCTGCACATAGGGTTGAGGAAACAACACAGAAAGGACTGTGATGAAGCAGTGTACTTGCTAGAGCTAGACTTGGACCAGGGATAACTGCAGCTCTGATGTACTGTCACTATGTATACACCTTCTGCCAAAGTAAAGAGGTGAAAGAAAACTCGAACGTCTATGAAACGACAATTTAAGTTTGTTGCACAAACCATGTTGGGGAGTGATTTGTGACTTGAAGGATGCTTCAGGCACACACGTGGTGTAATAAACCTATATTAATATGAGCAAAAACTTCACAGTTCAGTCCACACTCCCTGGTTTTCCTTGTGCGCTGCTGTAGTTTACTTCAATACTCTCCTCTTCATCTCCTCACATGACCTAGTCAGGAAAAGTTCCGTCCATGTATGCCAACTTCCAAGCACTGCTACTTTGAGGTTATCTAATAGGTATGTCTCTTGCTCCTGTTTTCCCACTTTCGGGTCATATTCCTCAGTGTTACTTACTTTGTTCCCCCAAAATCAGGAGTTTGAAAATCTTCAAGAGAGCTAATGCATTTAACCTACTAAACAAACTGAATTATTATTTCACTTTCATGTGCTTCACAGATTCACATAATGGTTGAGGTTGGAAGGCACCTCTGCAGATCATCTAGTCTCACCCACTGACTCAAAGCAGGGTCAGCTAGAGCTGGTTGCCCAGGATCACATCCAGCTGGATTTTGAGTACCTCCAAGAATGGAGACTCCACAACCTCTGGACAACCTGTGCCAGTGCTCAATACTCACACAGTAGAAAAGTATTTTCTTACATTTAGATGGAATTCCTTGTGTTTTTGTTAGTGCCCACTGCCTCTTGTCCTGTCACTGGACACTGCTGAAAGGAGTCTGGCTCCATCTTCATTAGTGCCCCCACCTCCCCTCATCAGGTATTTGTATACATTGATAAGATCCCCCTGAGTCTTCTCTTCTCCAGGCTGAACAGTACCAGCTCTCTCAGCCACTGCTTGTATGTTGCTTGTATGATGCTCGTATCCCTTAAATATCTTTGTGACCCTTCACTGGACTCACTCCAGTATGTCTCTGCCCATGTCCATTTATAGGCTGGACTCATTCCAGTATGTCCATGTCTCCTGGAAGCCCAGAACTGGATGCAGCACTCTCGGTGTGTCTCACCAGGGCTGAGCAAAGGTGAAGGATCATCTCTCCTGATCTGCTGGAAATGCTCTGCCTAATGCAGCCCAGGAACCTGTTGGCCTTTTTTTGCCATGAGGGCACATTGCTGGCTCACTGTCAACTTGTTCTCCAGGACTCACACATCCTTTCCTACAAAGCTGCTTTCCAGCTGTCCAGCTCCCAACCTGTACTGGTGCTTGGGGTTGTTCTTGCCCAGGTGCAGGACTTTGCATTCCTCTCTGTCACATTTCATGAAGTTCCAATTTACCAATTTCTCAAGTCTGTTGAGGTCCCTCTGAATGGCAGCATAACCGTCTGGTGTATCAACCACTCCTCCCAGTTTTGTATTGTCTGCAAACTTGGTAAGGGTACGCTCTGTCCCATCAGCCAGGTCAGTAATGAAGATGTGAAACAGTTTGGGACCCACCATCGACCCTGCGGCACTGGTGGTTGGCCTCCAGATGGATTTTGTGCACAACTGGTTGAGCCTAAGCAGTTCAGCCAGTTTTCAGTCCAACTCACTGAACACTTACCTAACCTGTACTTCATGAGGACGTTATGGGAGACAGTACCAAAAGCCTTACTAAATTTGAGATAAACAACATCCCCTCACCCACCCAGGGAAGGTATGAGAGCTTCCCCCATCATGCTGTCCTGTAGGTACTCACGTCTTTATATACATATACTTGAGGTGGGCACTTCTGAGCCCTGTCTGGTTGACTGTGAGATCCCTCCTGCTCCCCCTGCACATTTTGTTTACCAATAAGCAGAAATTGCATTTTAAAAAAATTAATTTTCTATTCATTATGTGATAGCGGATCAGATAGGAAAATTGGACCGGAAAAATTGTTCAGGTTTGCCCTACACATAACATTTTCTTTCTTCCAGGCTGATTAGGGCTGCTCCTGATACCATCCTCTGCACCCTTCAAGTTCAGATAACAGTCCTTCATTGATTAAATAATATACAGTACCAAGATGGTGAATCTCAGAAAAGTGCAGGAGGAAGTATTATTCAAATAAGAACGGCACACATTTTTATTTGAGAACCTTTTCCATACCCTTTTGGAGGAAACCATTTCTCAGGCTGTATAGACAGGAACATACATGCAGTGTGTGAAGATAAAAATACCTTCAATTATGAAGAATGATTCTTCTTGTGAAAAAAACAAGCGTTAGAGTATGCGACAGACTAAGAAGACTGGGTGTTCAACAGAAGTATTGAAAGAAATGGTGGGAGGTTTGAGCAGTGAAAGGCAGTACGGGCTGGGAAGTTGGGTTGCAGTCCTGATTCTCAGATTTCTGAGTGTCCCGTCTCGCTCTGTAAAATGGCAAGGGTTTTCTACCAGTGTTAATCAGAAATTAGGAATCACAATATTCACATGGGGTAGGCAATTATTATCTTTCCTTGTTTTGCAGACGTGGAAAAATGAAGTGTGAAGGTCAAGGGACTTGCTCGAAGCTGTAAAACCAAACACTGTAGTTCTGGCCAGTGCACTTATCCTTAACCACGGTGCCATTCTTTCTTGTTATTCCTCTGCTTCAAGGAGGGATGGTGCTTGAACTAGTTAGTGTTTGAATGGCACACTGATCATCTGTGGCACTGCTTGCAGATTAATGCATACCGAGTGGATAGCTATACAAAAAAACTGCTACAGAATAAACTGAGGTATTTTCTTTTAGCTATGATAAACGTGAGTTAGCCCCCTTCAGTGAAAACAGGGTATGCTACCATTCAGTCAGCGTGAGGAGAGACTGTGCAGTGGATAATCCCCTTTGTAAATTCACAGCCTATTTTGTCCCACAGTAATTTATGAATGCAATTAATTCTCAAGTATTAATATTTTTTTGTAAAATTGAACACATGAATTTGCTTAAAAGTACATGAATGTAGGCAAACACAGATTTGAGATATTTGCCAACCTAGAGTGCATTATACATTTCTATTTATTTTTTATTTACCAATAAAGTCATCTAATTTGAATTAAATGCTAATTGTGATTGAAGATAAAATGCTCTGAGACCTCTAGAGATCTTACTGTCTCTTCCAAAGCAATTTGAGGGAAATTGAATTCTTCATGCCTGAATATACATTAATATTATTCAGCTGAACCTAGTTTCATTTGAAACTTTTCTTACTATTTCTAAAAGAGCAAGATGTCTCATTTATGCTGGAAGATAAGTGTGTTTACCTGCAGACAAGATAGAAATGGATTCTGTTTACCAGCAAAAAATCCCTGTGGATCTTAACCACAGCCACTGATGTGAGAAACACTGCCATGTATGCGGAAGCACAGCGTCACATTACAGGCCTCTCTTCACAAAGGGGATGGTGGGTTGTGTGAGGAAGGGGTATGGTTGTTTATCATCTTCATTATTACATTTCACTGGTTGTAAATGCCCTGGGTGCCCTAGGGAGACCTGTCCAGTCACGCTACCAGGCCATCTCCCTCTCAATTGTCCTGCAGTAACATTTGAAGCCAGGGACAATTTTAGCCAACTTTGACACAGTTGTAAGACATCAGCGATGTGGAGGATGTTCATCACCTCCCAGAGGAGGCAGCTGAGGCTTGTAGGCTTGTACCTCTGTGGGTACAAGTGTGCCCCAGTGTTGGCAGGACTGATCCAACCCAGGCACTTCTTATCTCAGCGTGGTGGAAACCCAGAAATGGCCATCTCACCAGGAAAGCTCACACCTGCCAGACTGGACTGCATGAGGTACAGGGATGCCAGGCAGTCTTCTTAACATGGTGTTGGGATATCTGTGAAAACTAAGTCAGTGATTTCCTGAAACAGGGAAGTCCAGGTTCATTTTCTTCCTCTGCCCAAGCAGATTCAAGCCTACATCTTCTCCTACCTGTAAGACCTGTGTTCATAGAATCATAGAATCATTATGGTTGGAAGAGACCTCAAAGATCATCAAGTCCAACCGTATACCCAATGCCACCATGCCCGCTAAACCCACTAAACCATGTCTTGAAGCACCACATCTAAACGTTTTTTGAACACCTCCAGGGATGGTGAGTCCACCACTTCCCTGGAGAACATGTTCCAATGCCTAACAACTCTTACAGTGAAGAAGTTCTTCCTAATGTCCAACCTGAGCTTCCCCTGGCACAGCTTGAGACCGTTTCCTCTTGTCCTATCGCTAATTACTGGGGAGAAGAGACCAGCCCCCACCTGGCTACAACCTCCTTTCAGGTAGTTGTAGAGGGCGATCAGGTCTCCCCTCAGCCTCCTCTTCTCCAGACTAAACAACCCCAGCTCCCTCAGCCACTCCTCATAAGACTTGTTCTCCAGGCCCTTCACCAGCTTTGTTGCTCTTCTCTGGACATGCTCCAGCACCTCAATGTCCTTCTTGTAGTGAGTGTTATATCCCTCCTGTGTATAAAAGTGAACTAGAAAGAGAGAGAAAGGCTCATCCAATGTCTGGTGGTTACAGCACTCCCTGGAAGAGGGGAGCTAGGGTTTCAGTCCCAGCAGAGCGGGTTAGTTAACCTCCAGGGTTAATGCCCAGCAGTTAGATCACCATCCCAGGAAATACATCCACTCATGCAGACGGGGCAATGGGGACCAGCTCTCCCTTGTGCAGGGTGGGTGTTGATCAGCAAGTGCCAAGACATGGTCTCTAATAATGCTGGATAAAAAGATGTTGGCATCTAGCCTCAGGCATCCCTTGTCTTTAGAGAGTAAAATAGATGTTGTTTAAAATATGAAATGTGCTCAAAAATGCCTGCCTGGCTTGAGTTGTGAACATGCAAGAGGCGTTATTTATTTTCTTCTTCATAAAATGACTGTATATATGAATTACCATGCACTTGGAAGTAAAGATTTTGAGAATTGCATTTGTCAACAGAGGGAACTGTTTAGGTTATTTGACTTGCTTCTGTGCTTTAAGTTATGAAAAAGTAGGCACGTTAACATTATTTAATGTACTCAAATAAGAGACCAATATGTAATATACACAGATTACCTGAAAGTGTCATCTTCAGATTTAAACTCCCTGTATACATATAGTAAACATACCAGTCAGTGGAACCCAAGAGTCTTTTTTCTAATATTATTCTTCATAAAATGAGTAATGCGTGCTTAGTTTGAGTCCATTTTGAATTTCAGGTTATTTAAGCCGCTTTGCTATGACGTTGTTCTGTACAGAAATAAGAGTCAGTCCTGATGAAGATTTCTGGCTACTGACTGCAGTGGCTGACTTAGGTTTTATTAACAAGGAATACACAGAGGAGGAGGATTGAGCTCAGAATTAAATGCTGTTAGAACATACTGGTTTACCAGTACCTACAATGAGTGTGACTGCGGAGCTCAGAATTAAATGCTGTTAGAACATAGTGGTTTACCAGTACTTACAATGAGTGCGACTGCATAGGAAGGAGGTCAGGCTAAATATGGCCAAGTGTTAAGTGAACCATGATCTGAAAGTTGCCTTTTATTAACAGTGCATCTTAGCTAGACATCTAGAGACAAGCAAGAAGCCTTGATCTTTCTTATCCTTCCCATTCTGAGCATGTTTTGGAGAAACCAAATGTTTTGACTGTGAGAGCGGGAACAGGAGGGAGTTAATTCCAGATTTGAACAAGAATTGGCAAGTAAAATTAGAGATTAATTTCCTTCATCCAAGTTGCTGACCACATGAATCAGCTTGTGGAAGTGGCTCGTGCGGACTGTCTTGCCTCATTAGCGTGGGTGACTTCGTGCTTTCTGTAGATGAAGGCGGGGGGCAGGGGGAGGAGGGGAGCCCTGTGCAAAGCCAGGAGTTGTGTATCTGTGAGGGTCTCAGGCAAAGACAAAGGGGTTCCTCCTGTACCCTTATTAAATGGGGATGAGACTACTACTGTGATCCTGATAACGTTACTATTTATCTTCCCCATTGGGCCTCTCCACATTCCCCATTGCCTGTATGTCTGGGTTGTTCTCCTCCAAAACCAGCTCTGGATTGGTGCTCTGCTTTCAAATTTTTCTACAGCAGCTCATTCACTGACACTTGGCCACACCGCATTAAAATAAAAAAAGAAAATCTTTCCCTCTGCCCTTTCCTTCTTTGCTCACTTTGTGCCCTTGCCATAACTCCAAGTCACCCTGCAGTGAGATGCTGAACTTTCTGCTAACAGATTCAAGGGGCAAGAGTCACTGATTCACAAAGCTGTGTTTTGAAAAGCAGTATTTAAAATTAACTGGTATCTGTTAATTAAAATTTACCTGCAGTATTTTTTTTTTCTTACTATGATCAGTTATTCTCATTCGTGTCTGGCTCGTTGTTCACAAGTACCTCTCTTGAATCTAATTATATTTCAGCTACAAACTATAAAGTTTGCCTCTTATTCTCTGCAGGAAGCTCGGAGCACTTCGTATACTCATTTCTTTTTTCTTTTTTCCCCCACAACTCGTTTAGTAATTTTAGAGATGCTTGGTACCAGTACACATGCTTTAGGGATACATATCTCATAGGAAAATGTGGTGTCTCTCATAGTAAGGTTTTACCTGTCGGGACTGATGGCTCCACATACAAAATATTCCTAGATCTTAATCCAGAGGAAAGATAAGCTTGCTGCTATTTTGTGGGGTTTTGAGAACTTTAGGGGCAGAACGATCTATGAAAGTTCAAAGCAGTTGTTTCATTCTTTCTCTTCCATAATGGAATTGTGTATGAGCCACAAGGTATCTCTGGCAGAAGTACCTCCGCTAAACTTGCAGTGTTCACAAGGAATAGATATGTTGGCTCTGGCTTGTGAGGAATGCAGCAGTGGTGATTTGCCCTGAATAAATTAGATAAGCCAAAAATTCATGACTCTGCTGGGAGGTGAGGGGTTAGCGGTGCCTTTCTCTGGAGTAGCTGTTTCAAGCACAAGTGATGAATCAAGAGGTTTATCTCCACTGCACAGAAGGTGAAGCACCTCATCAGCAAATATTTCCTGTCACTTATGGCCAGCCTGGATAGTCTCTGCATTGGGAGTTCCTGTAGGGATTTATTTAGCTCACCAACATTACGCTACACAGCTGCTATGGTACGAGAAAGTTGTGAGCATATTTACATGGTAGCTCAGGTAGCATAGTAGTAGAGGAGTCTGGCCATTCTGAATTATGCTTTGCAAATAGTCTTCTAGCACAAAAAAAGTTAAGGATAATCTTTTCTTTGGGCAGGCTTAAGAAAACTGGCACATACCTGTGTAAGTATAGTTCTACATGTTTTTACGACTAAAGTGAGGTGGTAATAGCTCCAGGCTTCAGTGGCTTGCTGAAGATAGGAGTCATGCAAACTTTTCCTGATATTTCAACTACATACCAATTCTGAGCCGCCTGCCACAATCGTGGACCTCTGCTGAAGAAATCCTTCTAACTGTGCCCAATTACGTGAAAAACTTGATATTTTAAGCAAATGAGGTTTAGGCTGAAACTATGTATTACCTTTTCAAAAACACACATACCTACAATCCAAGTAAGAGGATGCTTGTTTTATAGCCCTCCAATATTCAAGCTGCCTTCATATAAATACCTAAATTAAGAGACTGATCTCCATGTGCTCCCTGATCAATATAGAATCAAGGAGTGAATCAGAAAATGAACCTTGTCTCAGAAGAGCCTTTCTCTGTTTTCTACAGAGAGATTCTAGGCAAACAAGTAAGGTCTTGAAGCTATATGGTCATTATAATACAATCCTCGCATAAGAAGCAACATAAAGAAATAATATTTATAGAGTGAAATAAAGTATCTAGTGCTCTCAGTTCATGCTGAACTTCAGCACTGCTGAACACATCTAGTACCAAAGAACGAGGACGTAAGTGAAGATACAATATACTCCAAGCATGTATTTCAAACTCCTGTCATTTCATCACTGGGGGCCCTTTGCTTCTTCTCATGGGTAAGTTTCTGTAAGCATGTACTGCAGAACCCTTGCCTGGATTGATCAGAAAACACAAATGCTCTCTCCTTCCAAATATTTGTTTTCCATAAGTTTCATTTGCAAAAAGATATTTTAACCTGTTCTTGTCATAAGGAACGAAGTTTTTATAATCTTTGAATATCCACGTGTTTGCAGACCACCCTTTATTTTTTTGCAGATGAAACTTATGAAAAACAATTATTTAGAAGTGTCATAAATTATTAGTGTCATGGTGCTGAGAGGGTCCTCAGGGCACTCAAACCTGTAACAGTCAAGCGCAAGCCACAGTAAAAAGCAGAGCACGGTAGGCTCCCAGGTGATTCATGGAGTTGATCCTAAGAAACATCTTAGAGGACTATTTCAGGAAGCATGTTTTAGGACAGAAAACGTATTAACTAGATGTTGAGAACCGAACCATACATTACTAATACTTACAGTGTAGTTATTTGGCAGCACAGAAAAGCACAATAAAACAGAATATTTCTTTCCTCCACTATTCTTCGTCCTACATTTTCTGTTGGGCTCACTTAATTTTATTATTCTTGTTAGTAAAAATGAAGATCCAGCACTAAAGCATTTAGGAAACACAGCACTGCCTGCACTGAAGGCCATTAAATCTTTGTAAATCAGCCCTGAAATATCATCCTTTCCAATACATCATTATCTTTTTGCATGACAGGTTGCTCTAATTGCAAACTGTCTGGATGAGATCCCACCCGTGCATTGTAAAACCACTGCAAAGCGTAATTGGATGAGTCTTAACCATTCTTGGCAGGAGTCAATCTCTTCTATCCCAGTGGCTTGTGAAAGTATTAATGGAAAGGGCAGCTTCAATGTGTGTAAAAGAAGATATTGGCTACTTATTTTTACAGTGAGGAGAAATCCTTTGTGAATGGGGAGGAGCAGGGAATCTTCAGCAATAAAAATGTCAAAAAAAAATCCGTGAACCCATTCATGACTCAAAAATGCCTTCTATTTCAGCAGCTTCACTGAGTTGCCTGCCAGTAGCCAAACACCACGCTGTCTGCTAAATTCCTTTTTTCCTTGTTTTTAAACTAATTTTTAAATCCGTCTTCAGTTCCTGCCTAGCTAAAGGGAGATAGAGACGACATACATACTCTTCTAAATTGGACTGATGGCCATTTCTTAACTTCTTTTCAAATGTGTTAATACAAACGGAGAACAAGGTGCTCTGCATAATTACTGGCAAGGGTGCCACACTTCACTGGATTTTAATTCTCAGATGAAATGGACACAACCCGCTGCATAAGTTGTCGGCATGTCTCAAGGACAGCCTTGCATCTATCCAAGGTGACCGTGGAGTTCACCTCCCATGCCAGGCAGCTGATTCTCAAACTTAGCAGCTCTTTGGAAAGCCACGAATGACCACCCCTGTACTTGAACACTTGGCTCAAAGAGTTTGGTAAGGGCTGTTTGCACGGGAAGATCTGGATCCAGAGTTAGTGACTGATACGGGATTACCTGCCTGCTGCCTGTTGGTGTATGTTCAGGGGTTTTCCAAAATAATAGTGCTCAGCAGCTTGTGGGGTGAACTGTTAAGAATGTAGCTATAATGGACAAAGTTTTTTAAAAAATGTTTATTACTTTTGCAAGTTTCTTCTTTTCTTGTTCCTACTGTGAAAAAAAAAAATCAATATAACATGGTGATACTCAGATCTGTAAAGTGTCATAAAATGGGCATTGAAAAGTCACTGGCACTAAGGGGAAAGCAAAGGCAGCACCTTACTTTGTGTAAGACTAGTATCATAAAACATTAAAATCCTTTCAGAGTGTGTGGCTTTCAGCTCTCTCATGCGCCTAAGAGCGATAGCATCTAAATATGCCAGGCTGTCAGGTAGTTTTGCTTAAGAAATATGGCACTATCTATTCAACAGTTTCTGTTAGTTTCCCAAGAAAATGTTCTAGTTAAACATTTCTTATCAAAAGTAAAGCTTGATGCATCCCCTCATTCATCTTACCTTTACTAGCTCGTAACCTCATTACTTGGGCATGTGTATAGGAAGGTTTGATCTCTTTTTTTTTTTTGAGTTGGAAAATTTCCATGGCAATGTAACAGCCATTTATGCCTTTGAAAATTACCACTCTCCATTCCCTTTCTTAGACAGAGGAAGTTACAGCCAGCATTTACTGCAAGCACACTACCCCTCGTGGAGCTTATAATAACATTTATTAGCCAATACTGTTGTATTCACTATGGGATATGTGTCTCAATGAGAAGGGGAAGTGGAGAGGGGAAGCAACTAATAGTATTTTACATATTTAGATAATTTTTTTGTCCTCAGAACTTCCCATGTCATTGTTTTTCCCCTAGGTCTTTTTTTTTCTTTTCTTTTCTTTTTTCTCTTCTGTTTGGGGCTTTTTTTCCCTGATAGATTCTTTCTTCTTTTGCCTCATCTCACTTGGCAGGAGCCCCTTTCAAGTGACTCCCACTGCGCATATGTTGTTCCTTTAGGGTGTTACCTGAGATTTCTCTGAATAGTTCTGCCCATCCTTCTCTGAAGTCTTTAACCCCATGAAAAATCCTTTCGTAGTGGTTCCTACAGCTGCATTCACAGCTCTTTGGGTTATCTCCTGAGGCCAGTCCTGGATCCCAGGTGGACTGTTTGAAGTGGAACAAAATCAAGACCACACACCTTTCAGTCTGGCCTTTTCCCTCATGACCTGGTGGAACCAAGGCATCTTCCACTAGTTCAGGATGGCAGGCTGAATTCAGAAGGCTGAACTTTCCTCTGAAGTATAGGGCTCATTTTAGTGACTTTAGTTTGAAATTCAGATGGTTTAAGTGTTTTTGCACTGAAATATCTCCTGAAATAGACTTACATGCCATAGGAAGTCATGAGCTACTGCTGCCCTCTCTTGAATTTTCTCTGCATTGGGGTACACCAGTACAATCACATATCACTGCAGACTGTCATCTAAATTATAAAGTTCCCCAGCGCCACACCAATGATTTTACAATCTTTGGTTACTTCAGCATTGTAGTATAACTTTATTCCTACTTCTGTTGAGCCTGGTATTGTGTGGTCAATTTCTGTGTGTCCAATATTTTTCATTTTCACCTTTTTAAGTTCCAGGTTTTCCTTTTCAGGTCAAAGCATTAATTTATTTGTAAGTCTGTGGTTCTGCAGTAGCACTTGAAAGTCGTCATTCAATGTGATGCTGAAATTCCTGTTAGGCTTATAGTCATCCCATCTTTTACTGCTATTACTACCTTCTGTTATTCCACACTAACTATGCTCCTGAATTCTTTCCATCCTAGGGAAGAAGGGATAATCTCTAGGCATATGTGTTTCATTTGTTTTAAAGAATAAAATATTAGACAACAGAATTAAAAAACCCAATGATATTAGAAAATCTGACCACGTCAAACTGAAAGAATTCAAGTATCCTTTTGCATCTCTAAAAACACCAACATGCCCTCTCTCACAGCTGTACAAGTCCTGCATGACTCTGTTCTTTTATTTGTTTTCATCAATACAAAAAATCATTTTACTCAGTTCAGTGAAAACAAAGACCTGATCGTCAGTGGTTTGGAGCAATACAGAGTAGCCTGATCCCTGGGTTTGTTTTTGTCATTGGAAATTATTACACTGCAAGATAGGCTAACTTTTCTTGGAACTGCTTGTTTTTCTGTAGGCTTTATTTCAAACTGGAATTCAAATTGTGTTCCATGCATGACCATTTCTTACATTATTCCTCTGAATTTTTAACAGCCTTATTTGAGTCGGTCTATGAACTTTCCCATCCCCCCAAATCCCCACTTATGGTCTGCCAGTCCACAAATCAACTTTCCAGTAAATGTTTAATCACTTTATGGCAGAAGAGTCTTTTTAGGTAGGGTTCCAAAAAAGTTAGATTTATGAAAGCAGTCAGGCAGTCTGTGCATGTGTGTCCATCTAATCATTTGGGTATCTGGTATTTGCAACAGGATGTTTAAAAACCTGTTGACCAGCATTCCCCCTCTCCAGAAGTGTAATGAAAATAGGCAGCTGTATAGACATCCCAATGCAGGGAGCTTGCCTACTGACGGGAGAAAAAAATCTACAAGCTTTAGTAGACACACAAGAATCCACTCGGCAATGAGAGGGCAGAAATACCCAAACTGCAAGAAACTCTTCAGTCAACTTGCATGATACAAGCTTCTGAAGAATTTGATGGCAAAACATAGATCCGAGCTTTGTCGTTTCTACAGCTTGTGGATTGCATGGTGACTGGGGACATTAAAAGAGATGTTTGGGAGGAAAGTCTCATCTTTTCACATTCTTTGCAGGGTCACTAGTTGATGTTTAGTTAGTGGATGTCCTTAATGTTGATGTTTAAATAAGTCAGATGGAATAGGCGCTCAAGGCACCTATTTTGCCTTATCAGCTGTGAAAGAGGCTAGCTCAGATGTTGCAAACACTTGTATGTGCATGCAGTCCAGTGCATCCCGCTTCCGTGATCTATCCGTAGGGGGACAGGAAGAGGACCTTTTCGGAGTGAGGATTTCATCTGTCACTACACCCCACTCAAACCCCCTGATGTCAGCTCTTTAGGAGTCCTAGGTTCATCCCCTACCACTGCTGGGGGACAAGGCCTGCTCTAGGTCACAGCGATGGGAGCAGATCCAGCAGCTGTTAGCCTGACTGTGCCAGTGCGCTCGGCAGAGCTGTTAGTGGCCATACAACTCAACCGGTGCTGTCACGGGGGAAAATGTGTTCGGTAGAGAAAAGCACCTGGCCACCCCTACCAGAACTGTCAGCCTCCCTGTATGAACCTCTTCTGATTTCTCAAAAGATGTGGCTTAAGCTATTTATTTTTGTAGGAAGACCTACTGTGCGCTAACAGGTAAGCCTCAGAAGCATGTATTTCAGTAATTAGCCCAGCTGGTTGCTAAATTAGATGTATCAATCAAGGGGTTCAAAAGAGACTTTGTAGTACTAAACGTGGCTTGGTCGTGAGCGCGCACCACCATCCTTGCTGTGGTTGCAATGTGAATGGGCTGGGCCGGGCTGTCGCTGCGTTGTAAGCTCTGCTCCTTTCCATGTTCACAGGATTTCACACTCCTACCTCCGGGGATGCTAAGGAGAACGACGTGGAACAGGAGTGCTCCTCCTGGCCTCAGTAAACACAAGATGGCTGCCTCGGGTGGCAGGCGCTGGCGGGGCAAGGCTGACCCTTTTGGTGGGGCAGCTACCTCCTTGGTGAGCCAACTGTCTGACCAGCAGAAGATGAGCGAGTCACCTCTCAGCCGGTTCAGAGGGGTGTATTTACCTCCTGCACTGCACCCTTTAAACAAGACATTAGTCAAGGGTGGCAAGTGGAAGGATGTGGATAGCGCCCAAGAAAAGCGCAGGTCCTTCCTGCATGACTTCTGTAAGAAATACAACAGCAGAAAGAAGCTGCGAACCCACCTCGTGCAGCTGGTGTCAAGAATTTACGTGGAGGACAGGCACAAGGTCCTGTATTGCGAAGTGCCGAAAGCAGGATGCTCCAATTGGAAGAGGGTCCTCATGGTGCTCAATGGACTCGCCGCTTCAGCACACAACATCTCCCACGATGATGTGCACTATGGAAAGCATCTAAGGAAACTGGACAGTTATGACCTAAAAGGGATATACACACGCTTGAACACATACGCTAAGACTATATTTGTACGTGATCCTATGGAAAGACTGGTATCTGCCTTCAGGGATAAGTTTGAACATCCAAACAGCTATTACCATCCAGTATTTGGGAAGGCAATAATTAAGAAGTATAGACATAATGCAACTGAAGAGGCATTGAAAACAGGATCGGGAGTTAAGTTCAAGGAGTTTATCCAGTACTTGTTAGATTCCCATCGCCCAGTAGGAATGGACATTCACTGGGAACAAGTCAACAAGCTCTGCTATCCCTGCCTCATCAACTATGATTTTATAGGAAAGTTTGAAACCCTGGAAGAAGACGCAAATTACTTTTTGCAGCTTGTAGGTGCTCCAGCCGAGCTGAAGTTTCCTAAATTCAAAGACAGACATTCCTCCGATGAGAGAACAAGTGCAGAAGTAGTGAGGCAATACTTAAAGGAATTGTCTAAGGAGCAGAGACAGCTGACCTATGACTTCTATTACTTGGATTACTTAATGTTCAATTATACATCACCAATTGTATAGCACCAGAATAGCTTCAGACTTCTATTAGATATTTATCATTTTGGGATTCAAAACAACTACGTTGATATTAGCCCTGAAAGGAAACAAAATTACTGCTAAGTGGAGTTGTCTTGCTTTAGTGGGGATTTTATAAGCTAGAGTGACATCAATTGGCAGTAAATTATAGGAGAATGCACAAAAAAAGACCTGTAAACAGCATAAATTGCACTAAAATGCCTGAAAAAGCTGCTTTTACCATTATGGATTATACTGTGGAAGCGGTAGCACAGCCAGCTGTTGCATTAGCTTACCTAATGTTCTTTTAATGGTTTAAGAAAAAAGCATTCAGAGTAGCTTGATTCTTTTTTGGTGTGTCTGCTTTAGAAATTGTTTTTGAAACTATTCTTGAATGTATTTTTTACTTTCTGTCACTTATTAATAAAGAAACGTTGGCTAATTTTCTAAGATATTTGCAGCATTCTCAGTTGCAAGGCTTGGTTGTTTGATTATCGTTAGACTGTAGCTATTTTTAGACCTGATTTTTTTTATTGAAGGATGCTCTTGAATACAAATGCATAAAACTACAAATAACACAGCAGCTCAGCTGTTGAGCAGAGTAAATTTGGGTAAGCCTGTGGTCTGAAGTCCCGGCCCACTACCCCATTTTGATTGATGCACTAGAGTTGAAAAAACATGACCCTCCTTTCAGAGAACTGCCACGTACATGAAAATTAACATTTTAATTTACAGTGGAATCAGCCACGTACTATGGTCCCAATATTCAAGATAGTCTTCATCTTTGGTGACAGGGAAAAGTCTTAGGATGGTAGCTATGGGATATTATAAGGTCTGTACTGAGAAGCAACTTCACTGCAACTGCTGTAACCACTCTTGGTCTGCCAGTGTCTGATCATCAGCCCAGCTCCCAGCAATTTGTTACACAGGAGATGTCTATGCCCATTGCCTCCCAAACCTATGGACTGGTTTTGTCCCCAGAGCTTCTTGAAGTCACCTATGTCTTGCTGTCCTTCCTGCCTTGTCAGTGGCCAGCAAACCGCAGGGGTGGGGTGGATGCTGCAGTGTTACCTGATGGGATGGATATCGGTGATTCGTCCTGGAGACAGTTGTGTCCAGAGTCCCACAGTCCTGGGTATAAAAGGAAAAGGTACCTTCTCTCCTCCTCTTCCCTCTGCTCGCTCAAGTCCTATCTGACCAATGCATGCGGTTGTTCCTGCAACCCGCAGTTGTGCATGGCATTGTAGGATGGGTGGCCAGGATGTCCCAGGAGGAGCAGAAATCTCTGCAAAATGGATAGGGAGAAATCCCTGTGCACTTCGAAACTAAAGATGACACCTATTCTTCACTTCCTGCAGTGGTTTGGGGCATCCTGCTCCAGCACCTTGATATAGCAAGTTGTAGAATAAGGGAACAGCCTGGTGGGAAACTGATGCAAGTAAAATGTCCTTGTCCTCGGTTCCCAACCGCTGCTCATGATTAGTGCTACAGCTCTCCTTTCCCTCATCTCAGGCAAATGTATGGCTTCAGTCCTTCCACAGGACTAATTGTGAGTCCCTGCTGAAAGCAAAGACCATTTCCTATGTACCCTCACTGCTTGTTTCTCCCTCAGTTTTCTCCTCAGCAGAGGAAAAAAGCCATCTCCAGCCTCCATGGTGCCAGTGTGTCACCGAGCAGGCTCTGCACATCTCTCCTGCAGCAGGACGAGCCGCTCCGAGGAGGAAAGGTAAAAGCGTATGGGGCAGCCCAAGTTGGAGGAGGTGCTGTATGTGACTAGCAGCACCCGTAGCCATAGCCAGCCTGTTCTCTGGGGCTGTGGGGCGAAGAGGAGGAGAAGGAGAAAGCCCACAAGTTATCATCACCATGAGGTGTGGAGAGGTGCAGGTGTTTAGCACCGACAAGGGGGTGCAGGGATGCCTTGGACAGGTAAATGCACACACTATTACTTGTGTGAGCTGTTGCTGTGCGTAGAGGGACCCAAAGCTGTTAACACCAGATGTGTTTGGGAGGGGATATCCAACCGCTGAACTGCCCCAATGCATGGCGTGCCTTTCCTCAGGTGAACAACGTGTCCCTACATCTCTGCCTTTAGACTCAAGATGGTGTCTTGACTCCCAGCTTCCCTGGCAGAAATCCCTCCCAATTTTCCTGCAGGCTCTGTCCCAGAACAGGGAGCACCGGAGCTGCACCGCTCTGCCCGGGGCACCATGGGGAGCACAGCTGCCCCACGGCCAAGGTCTTGGCCCCCGGGGCACCACACTAGAGGGGTGGTTCCTTGCAGCTGCTGTCATGCCGGACACCAGTACACTGCCACACCAGTGATGGGCACCATACTGGTTAATGGCTGTTAATAAGTTCCCATATGTCTTCACCCAGCACGGTTTGATTTTTTTTTCATTTGGCCATGCACTTTCATGATTGTTGCTCTCAAGTGGGACTATGCATTAGGATATTAAAAAGCAGCTCCTGCCAGAGGTTTCATTTTGTGACATCCAGCCTCCTAACTCATGTGAAAACTGCCTTAGATTTCACTTGGGTTTGACCTTGGTGTAAAAAGCATCTTCTCCATGGACACGGCAGAGCTCTCTAGATCCTCTGCTCTTATAAGTATTGATTCCCACCTCAAATCCTGAATCAGTCTCTCTTGTCTTGTAGGGAGACCATTGAAGACATTAAATAAAAAAATAAATGTACACCAGCCTTCGGATATCTATGTATTTGCCTTGTCTTGTCTGTTGTGGAATGTGTTAATTAATTGTTAATTTACAGACAAAAAAAAGGCTCATGTACCAATATTTATAAAAAACGTATGAGGAAAAAAAGTTTTAACATGCTAATAAAGAATAGAGGGCAATTTATGTATGAGTTTTGTATGAATTCTTTAATTCAGAGAAATAACTAGTAATAAATGACAAAGTCTCTGAAGAGCTTAAGCTTCACCTTGAGCTTGCTTTAGTGACAAACTTTCAGCCTATCTGATCAGGGAATGACAGAGATTCAGGGGGGTGGGTGTAATTGTATTGAAAAAGCTGTACAGTCTCATAAGTTTTCATCTAACTGGTCTTAGATAAAGCTATTGTTTGAGTCAAGGGAGGAGGTGAAAGAAATTATTAGCAAATGTTTGGCTTCTGCAAACGAGAAGGAAAATGACATTGATTTGCATGCATCCGTGGACACAGACATCAGGTCCCTGGGTTGTCATCTTGAAAATCTGGTACGGTTTGCATTTGTGATTTAAAAGGGGAGGACACCACTTAAGGCCTTTAAAGCATATATGTGCACAGAAGCATAATTGTTTTAGCCACACTGTTGTTCTGTGGCTCTAGTGAAAGTAATTTAACTTCTTTGTATGCTCAACTTCAAATTTCATAGCCCCTAACTGCACTTAAAAATTCATTTTTTGAAAATCTAACCCAGACTCTTGTAAAGAAGAGCCTCTCCATAGTCATCTTCAGCAACCTAAGGGATTCAGATGATCTCAGTAGCAGAATCTAGATTGTACTTTGCCTCATTAACCACATTTTGAAAATCACCAGCCTGCTTTGCCAGGAATTAAGTTACATGATTTAAAATTAACATAAGAGTTTAGCATAATTGAAGTGGGACTGTGATATCCGACTTATGGGATTATAAGAGATAAAGGCATAATTTGCAGCATAAAAGATAACCTCTATTTTTAAAAGTAAGTTTTAAAAGGTCAAAGTGTGAGGTTGGGTTGTAACTTGGCTTATATTTTGTAAGAAAAAGATTAAAAAAACCCACAAAAACTGAAGGTCATCAACTATAACTAGTATAAAATTCCACTTCCACAACTGTGCACAGATGTTTGTTTTATTCCGAAAATTATATTGAACATATGCAGAAGAGGAATGAAAATACACTCCACAACACTTGGTGCAATTATACTAGAGATCAGCTGCAGCATGCAGAGCCTCTTTTAAGGGGCTTCATTACAGTAAACGCTTTTTAGTTATGAACATTTCTACATTTGAAGATCTCTAAGCACTTCTCTAATGCAGGTTGGTTGTCAGGGCAAGTCAAATGTGCTGTAAAGGCATTACAGCGAGTCCGTTGGAGGGCTGGCGCGGGAGGAGAGTACTCCCTTGGCTCATTTGTCTCTTCCAAACACCAGACAGTTGTGCTTCCCTCCTGAAACAAAAACTTGATTTTTGGAAAGTAAAGTTCCATATTTGCTTTTCTTCTAAAACGAATCAGTATTAAGTAAAATAAAATGATTTAATAATAAAGTAAAAGTAATTTTAATTAATAAATTTTAAAATGAATTAAACTGCATAGGTGTGCATTCTCAAATTCTGACCTATTTGTCAACATAAGGCAGCTTTGTTTTTCCAGGTAGGATTTGGCTTGCAAAGCTCAGACACAGCCATTATGCCCATCTCTTCTAAAACTGCTGGTAAACTGTTGCTTGCTGGAAGTCAGAGGTGTGGAGCCACAGTGCAATCAAACATGGCACATCATCTTGAAATGTCCTCTGGTGTAACTCCCCCAAAAGGCCAAATTTATTGGAGCTACTCCTGCCTCGGGCTGTTCTATCTTGGTGGTGTGTCATTGGAGATCACCAGTGTAATTTTACATGTAGTTTAAATTTAAATGAAAATTACAATATGTCACTTTTTGCAAAAGTCTGAGAGGAAAATCTTTTACTAGAGCTTTGTATTGTATATGGTTATATGTAAAGGTCTTTGTTGTATGTGCCCTCAGGCTAATAACACATCAGATAAGTCTTTTTAACTGCGACGTTAATACCAGTTTATCAACTGTATAACTTGCTGTGATGCTTTCAAAGCTAAATTAATTTGGCCTCGGAACCTAATGTCCAAAATCAGACCATAAATTATTACACTTCATAAAAAATACAGATGCACCTGTCCTGTACCAACTGATTCATGTCCAGGTCAGTGGGCAGGGCAGGAGCACAGAGGACTGGGGGGTTAAGTGACTGACGCAGCAAAGGGAAGCTGTCCATAACCCCATGGACATAACCC